GCTCGTTCCCATTCATACCACAACCGACTCAAGCAAGCCCCGGGCAGTTGCGTGGCTTGGGCCCACTTAAGCTTGTAGCGTTGCTAGATGTAATAATAATGATTTTTCGCTTGGCATTGCATGTCGCTTGGCATGCTTGAATTTTGTCGCTTTGAAGAGAGACATAGTGCTTGACAGAATAATTAGCATCGGCTTGTAGAGCCAATGCTTTTTATAGGCTCATTTTAATTCTTAGCGAGATAAATTGCATATTTATTTGGTATGGCACGTGGTTGTGACTCGTGAAAGCATGCATGACGAATTTTGCATGCTCCGAATCGGGTCTTTTCTTAATAAGGTGTTGCATTGGGCCAAGAATTTATTTGGGCCCAATCCTGGATTTTTTTGGGCCTCAACAATGAGTTGAGCCCCTGGTTTTATAAAGAGATTTAGAAGATAAAGATGACGCGTGATGCGATTTTAGAGGGTGAAAATCTTATCTAAAATATGAGAATTGTATTTTATAATAAATATCAACACATGGCACCATGGAATCTTATCTGAAATTTCAGATTTATCTTTTTTTTATAATAAAAATCGACATGTGGCAACCGAGAATCTTATCCGAAAATTTTGTCCGAAAAATTCATTTGAATTATGAGATATGAATTTTATAATAAATATTGACATGTGGGAACCGAAAATCTTCTCTAAATTAATTGTTTGGGGGAAAAAAAACTAAAAGTGAATAGTATTTGCCCTTTGCCATGACAATGGGCGGAAACACACATTGGTGGATCCACAGAGGTGCAAGGAGGTGCAGCTGCACCTCCCCTCGCCGAAAGCTTCCTTAGGGATGCCGAAATTTGCCCCTTTGCTAGTGACCACCAATTGTTCGACTAGATGTCTCAAAGATGTTATTTTGTTTGCTACTAAGTGAGACCCTGAATATTTGCCTTAGATTGTTGGGCTCGATCTCATGAGCATGTAGGAGAAAACGGTTCATCAATCGAAGCTCCATAACCAAAGTTATGAATTTTCTAAGTTTTTATAGAATATGTGAAGTTAAGTTGCAGAGCCACAGGTCGAGGAATAAGAAGACTCCGCATCAGCGCTTCTCATTTTTATTTTTTTTAAATGGTCCAATAGCAAGCTGACATATGTCTAATTCTAATTGGCCTAACTTAAAAAATTCATTAAAAACTCATATGTGTTCCGAAAAATTCACCGAAAATTACCCCGAACTTTTAATCACGTGTACTTTTATCTCGTGACCTCCAAATCACATGTGATTTTGGTTAGATTAATTGGTATTGATTTTGGTTAGATTAATTGGTATTGACTTTTGTTAGATTAATTATGTAATTGACATGAATTTTGTTCATATTTGAAATGAATTTTGGTAAACTAATTGTGTCACTGACAAGGATTTTGTATCCACACCACAAGCCACTCAAGCAAGCCCCGGATATTTGGGTGGCCACTTAAGCTTATAACGTGACAATGTGTGAAATAATGATTTCCTACTTGGCATGGCAT